GATAGAGTTTTATATTGATTTTCATTGATTTTCTTTTTTCTTTTATTCGGTATTATTTAATTTAATTTTCCTCTTCAACGAATAACGCTTCTTTCTTATAATTTGAATTTTTGGATGAATCTTTTTTTTTTTTTTTATTGTTAGAATATAATCGTGCGATTTTGATTTTCTCTTTCTCTGTGAATATTTCTTGGAATATTCCGAATGCTTTATTTTCCAAATCTAATTAATTATTATCTTTTCAATTTTATTCGATTGATCGTTTAACGAAGATATTTGAACCTGTCAACGGATGAACATATATTCACACGCGTATTTTTTAACTTCCAAATATCGATAACGTTTTCGAATATTTTCCACCATTCTCGTTTCCATATCGTCATTCCCGGTCCGGTAATAATAACATTGAAATTATTCAATCTGCCATCCCTCTCTCTACAAAAGAAAAACCTGTCCCCGATCATCGTCTTTCGGTTCTTGTTCCAATTTTCTCTTAATCTGCGAGCCGAGATCCCGATAAAACGGGGTAAAGTAAAGCAGATAACAGGAATGAATTCCGTTCGAAAGCTTTTACAATAATACAACAGCTCCACCGATCGTCGTGATATTGCGAATCCCGGACCGCGTTTTGTATCTCCTCGCGTTTAATCCCTTCGAGCACGGTACGTCAAACTGGCAGAAATACCTCTAAACGAGACGTAGAAATATCGTACGGTTAAAAGAAACCGTGGATAAAAAAAAAAATTGAAAGAAGCGTACACTCGGTCGGTCTCTTTTTATTGTATTTGGCAGTTCAATTAACAGAATTGAGAATTCCTGGAAATAAAAGAAAAAAAGTATGTTAGATATAGAGTGGAGAACGTCTTCCTATTTAACTTTCCTCCACTCTTCTTCTCCCCCTCCAATCTTTCAATAAAATTTTCCTACTTTGCTTGCACCGCGTATGCCCGTTCTTCTTTCTACTACTCCATGCCATGTAAACCTTGCAGAAGGGGAATCAACTTCTTTTTTCTTTTCTTTTTTTTTTTTCTTTTAGAAATGCCAGTGAATAGAACTCGCGAAAGTTAGAGAAGAGAGAAGAAAGTAGCTACTCTTGGTAAAAAAATTTCTTTCCCGCGAGGAATTTTGAAAAAAATAATAATAATAATAATAATAATAATTTGCACGATTTTATTCGAAACTCTGAGTGTACAAAAAAAAAAAAACACGGCGAAAGCGTGTTTAATACAAACTAAGTAACGGTATAAATTGTATCGTATTTACGGAGAGGAAATATGCAAGAAAAGTGAAAAAAAATATGTTCACTCGTTAATGAATTAATAACCAACTCTCTCTCTCTCCGCTTAATAGAGGGGAGGAGAAACGTTTGATAATGTTACCGGAAATAATTCGTCGATTCATCGCGATTGAATCGAACGTAAAAAGAAACGCGCAATTACAAACGTGATTCACTGCACATCCAATTCGAAGAATTTGTCCGAGCTGCATTCGTTCGCAGCTGCACCTGCGTGGAAAATGTGTTACGTTTTACGAATACGTTTTATTTATTCCATCGCAACAACACTTTTCCCATCGCGAAGGTAAGCTATCGTAACATTCTTGCTTCACCCGATATTAATTAAATTTTTCGATTCGTCGAATTCTCCCCTCCTTCCTTCCCCAACTTTTTTCCCCCCATCCCACCAACGCGCCGCAATTTAATCACGATTTAAACGCAGTTAAATCCGTAACAAATCGCGAGTTAATTATTACAAGTGCTCGTTTTATTAATAACTCGCCGCCGTAACTTTCCACGCCACGTCAGCGAGCCGTGTAAACGTCTAATTAATTTTGGCCCCGAAAACTTCGCCTGTTGTACGGGTGTTTCCCCGAACCTAGATGGCGCGCCAACGTATCGCGTACGTAAATGTTTTTTCAAGGAGAAAGAGGAAGCAAGAGGAAGTCGTTCGCGGAGGAAACGAGTTGCTTTTGCGCATACTTGAAGGGCGCGAAGAAAACGTACGTACGTCAGTTATGAACGATGAGAGGTTCGCCGTTTCCACGAAGAAATTACTTACCAGGGGTTGCATGCAACGGAGGCATCCTGCGTTGATCGAACGTTCGCGGGAACTCGTCCTATTCTCACCACGCCGATGACGATTTCACGTTAGTTTTTACTGTTCTTTTTAACGACCCTGTAACGACTATGTCTCCTCCCCTCCTTTTCCTTAAAACCTCGTTTTAATCGTTTCTCGTTTCGCGAGGATTCTCGAGAGATTGACCAGATTTTTATCTAGTTAAATTGGATAATAAAAAAATATTCGACGAAAGACTTATGTTTATCTATATATGTATTTTATATTATGATGTCGAATCATTGCATTTGAAGTTATATGAAAAAAAAAAGAAAGAAAGAAAGAAAGAAAGAAGTTTAAATTTTCGCGTGAAAAGCGCGAGAAGAAATTAAAAAGTCATTGAAATCGCTTTTTGATTTATTTCAACTGGTTGCCGAGATATAAGTTTTATTATTTATAGCGCTTAATACAGGGCAGAAATTATGGATGGGCTCGCGACCGAGTGGCCTGGATTTTTCCAGGAAGCGTGTATTTTCAGGAACCGCGTCTGTCTGGAGTTTGGAATAGGTTGGTAGAGACGACGATCCGAATAGACAACGAGAATAGAAATAATAAACGATTAAAAGATTACCTTTTCCTTTTATACGACCATATCTCGAGAACTGGAAATCGTATCGAGATAAATGAAAGAGATAACCATCGTTCATTCGTTGTTAATACCTTTGATTTAAATTCTTTCTAATTTCAATTTAAGAATTCAACAGAGTTTTGAGATAGATAGATATGCTATTGTATTTCTAGAAAAATTTTTTGCTTATTATTAACTGAAGATTCTAAATCTAATTTAAAAAATCCATTTCAAATAAATCGGATCTTCGTTTATCATTTATGTGAAATATGCAAAAGATATGTAATTTGATATATATATATATATGTATTTGCATGAAAATTTCGCAGTCTAATAACCATGATATAAAGTTCTTGGAACGTATGTGACGTACTCGGAAATTCTTTCGACCTTTTTCCCATCAAAAGTGTCCGCTTTTCGCGCTAGACAAGTGATGCCATCGTACTTGGAAGTCGTAAATCGTTTCCACGGAAACTTTGCCGTTGTTTTTTACATATCGCCCGAATGTAACGCATAATATGATTCATTTCTTTTTTTTCCCCTCTTCTCTTCGCTATTAGAAAGGTATAATGGTAATAATCATAGAAAGACGGCAAGAAGGGATGAAAGTGACAAGAAAAATACGAGGCAATTACTTCGGGAGGAAAGATCGAGAAGATCGTAAAGTTTCGACACGCGAGGAACTTGTGTAATTAAAAGCGTGTGCCTCGTACACACGCTCGCTCGTTAATTCGTTTACGACGCAAGGGAAAAAGAACAGGTGATAAAAAAAAAAAAGGAAAAAATTGACCGATGATTTCGAAGTCGAATCTTAAGGGAGAGAGAGGAAAAAAAAAATGGAAACTTTCCTTAAAGATTACTTTTCTTTTATAAAATTATACAGTTGTATAATTCTTCGTTTAAAGGACAGATTAAACTGGTATGCGAATTTTGCTCGTACATTTCTAGCATCGTTCGTACGTGTAATATGCGAGCTCTTGCGTCTCTTTAACCTTAACTAATTTTAAACATAGACGAATGCGTGTATAAATTATACAAGCGCAAGCTTTCGCGTAGAATTAAGGGAATATGTGTATGAATAATTATAAAATATTGTTAAAATATAATTATAAAAAACACCACGGATCTAAGCAAAGTTTTAACATGCATTCGAATACTTACTAGCATAATTTATGCACGTGCAAACTTACGAAACTACAAATTATACATATATATATATATATATATATATATATATATACATATATAATTATACCGTATTTGCATTGCTTTAAATTTTATATAAAATTATATATGTATATACAGCACCGTTTGCCATCTTTTCCCTTAATTTTGACCTCGTGTAATTCCGATCTGAAATTAATAATTAGAACACCTACTCTATATAAATGAAATGATTCGTAATCCTTCTCCAAATTGTACATCCGTAATGGATTCGATCGAGATTAAGCGACCGTAGGAAATTTCAGAATTTCAATTGGCGATGAATAACACGGGGAGAGCTAAGCAAGTACATCTAATAGGTTTAAAATTACGGCAGACAAGGCTGTCAGCCCGGCAGCGAAACTTCATTTCCAACTTCCCCTTAACTTTTCGTTATAACCATCTCCGAGATCGAATGCTTCGAGCAAGCTTAACGTTCCGATTCGCTTTTCAATCCCGTATCAGAGCTTCGGAGAATTAATCCCCCCCCCCCTCCCCTCCCGTCAAACTTCTCCACGCGTAATGTAACGTTCCCTCGAATTTTCGCGCGATTTACATCCGCTGAAAAAAAATCAACGTCCTTCTCTCTCTCTCTCTCTCTCTTCCTTTCGTTCTCTATCCCAGTTTCGAATTTCGAGAAAGAGGAATCTAAGATGGGATAGCGAAAGAAGCATTAAATTCGAGTGGGTCGGTTGACAAAAAAAGAGAAAGAGAAGAGGGGAGGGGGCAAGTTACCTTCTACCCTACGTTTGAAGTGGAAGGTAATCGTCGAATAGCCGGTAGGACGCGATGCAGAGAGGCGAAAAGAAGGAAATTCAAACGCAAAGAAATTTATTTCTTTGATTGACATTCAAAAAGAACACCCTCCCCTCCCCGAGTTTCCTTTAACTTGAATTATGAATAGGGAAGAGAGTGCACAGGCTTCCCTCCTGAAGGGGGAAAAACATTTTTGCCGTGAGAGGAGAGAGCAGACGTAAATATTGACTCGCGGACTTACGGCTCGTCTTCGTATGGGGGTGGGGGGCATCCCCCTTTTTCGCGAGGGTTCGCCGCACCCGCGCGATCGCCGAAAGTAGAATAAACTATGGTAATGATGATGCAACGTTTTCACTCACCGGCTCTCCATCCTGCATTTCCCCTCCCGCGCTTTGCAGTTGCTTTTGAAGTCCTCGTAAATCTGGCTGCACGGTTTGCCGCGTAAACAGACGCTCAGCGCATGATTGCAGGTCGGCAGCGCGTCGATCGGATCCTTATCTGGAATACCGAGAGAGAGAAAGAGAGAAAGAGAGAGGGTTAATACAATTTTTTTTCCATCCGTGTCCCTTCTCAAATACGTACGATGGATATGAACGGAGGCAAAGGTGTGCAGCAAGGGGGAGAGGAGATGAGTTTGCTGGAAGGAGGAAAGGAAAAAAAAAAAAAAAAAGAAAATTTCCCGCTGCGAGCACTCGACACGTTCGGTTTATCAGAGTTTTGAGTATTCGAGTATCTTTATCTCGTTGAATCTGTATACTTTAAGGAAGATTTGAAGGAGGAGAAAAAAGGAATTTAATGAATACTATTTTAAATATTAGTATCATCTGATATATTATTTCCTTATTAAAAGAAAAGAAATAAATATCGCAGTAAAAGATTAATCACTTTTGAATCTGTTAGAAATGTGTTATTAATTGTGGACTAATTAAAAAAATTTCTCCAACTAAATTGTATTCGTCAATAATCATTTAGCAACAAGAAAATTCAAGATACCTTATTAATAATTGCTCTCAAAAATAGAGAAAAGAATAAATAGAAAAGACGTATTCGTTCGGCGACGAAGAAAATAATAAAAGCTATTCTCTTATCTGAAGAAGGAAGAGAATACAGATAGGGTTTAAAGAGGCGAAGAGAGATTTTTCGCGGATAAAGAGGGAAAGATCGGAAAATTTCCTGTGAATAATTTCCAAGATCGTTATCCTTACCCTCCTCCGTTCGCGAATTCCTCGGTAATAAAAAAAAAAAAAACGATTAAATTAATTCATTTCAAGGAGACCGGCGGAGACGACGAGAAGAAGATGATTCGAAGAAATCGTAAAAAATTATGAGGCGAACACAAAATCGATTCGATCATTGTTACATACTCGTAGATTGAAAGAAGATTAACTTGCTTGCGAATGCAGTATTTATATAACTATAAAATATATACGTATAAACAAAAAGAATAAAAAGAAAAAAGAGATTCTCTCTTTTTGGAATCGACAGAGTAAAGCCATTCTTCCGGGATCCGTTAAGAGCGAGAACGAAAAAAGGAAAACGGACGGAGGACGAAGAGAGAAGGAGAGAGGGTTGAAGAGGAAAAAGAAAAAAAAAAAAGGAACGCGGCTGAAACACCGAGTGTGAGTGAAAAGAAGCGTATTGGGAATTATCCGTGAATCGTTCGAAAATGCTCAAAAGGCTCGACGGGCCGGACGAGCGAGCCCTCGGGAAAATGAACAATGGAGATCGTAGGAGAAGCCGCAATGGCGCGGAGGTTATATAAGGGGCCGCAGTCAAAGATATCGCGATCCCTTTGTTTCTTCCACGAGAGCCGCGACCGAGCCTCTCTTTTTCAGCCGAAGAGAAATATATACCCGACCGAGTGCCACCTCGATCAAATTTTCTCCGTGCTCGCGCCCTCCCCTCTTGTTCACCCTGTCTTCGACAACCTTTCGAGATAACCTTCCCGCGATCAACGTCATCCGATACGTCACGGACAGGATCGAGGCGATCGCGGCTTCGAGATAAAACTGAAACTATCCCTTCGATGGATTCGTTTCGAACCACGTTTAATTACGACTTTTAAACGTAAGTATATTCGAACAATTCGTCGTAGGGGAAGAAAAGAATATCCGAGAAAGATTAAAATTTTAATTTCGGAAAGAGAGAGGACGAGTGTCTTGAGAGGCAATTAAGCGAGAAAATAAATTAAGCTAACAAGCCGAGATTTCGCCGTTCCGTTGATAAACGATTCGAATTAATAATTTATAAGTGTTTTGAAGATAAAATTGTGATTAAAATACGTTCGGGTGAAAATATCACGATTTCTCGCGACGAATATCAATTCGCCGCGATCGACGAATATCACACGATTCGTTGAATCCAATCGAGAATGGAAAATATATAATATATTCGTGAAACAATTCAGGGTGTCGAGAGGGGAGGGGGGGGGGGGATCGATATATCGAAATCGAGAAGAATAACCGGCGAAGAAAGATCTGGGAATAATTTGGGAGTAATGAGTCGAGCAATTAGAAGAGTTTGGCCAGAATCTTAATTACATTTATCCATCCCGGTGTATAAGCCGGTCATACGGGGAAGGCAAGGTGGATAATGAAAGGCCGCAGCCGCAGCCGCTACGAAAACCAGGAAGCTTCGGCACTTAATGAGATTAAATTCGCTCTTCTGCTTGGGGAAAAAAGGAAACTACGAAAAGGGAAAACTGGCGGCTGGGCCACGAATGGGTGTTGGAGAAGAGGCTGGGTGTGTACGTGAGAGAAAGAGAGAAGAAAGAGGAGAAGAAGGGGAGAAGGAGAAGAAAAAAGAAAGAAGGAGAAAGGAGGTCTGGAAAAGACCTCCTCTTTCTCTCCATTAAACACGCAAAGATCCGCGCGTTTCCCTCTTCTCGAAGTCGACGTCAGTTTCAGAGTTCGGTGAAAAGCAACGCGTTATGCATCCGGAGGCCTTTGATGCTTTTTTTCGGCGAGCCGTAAAAAAAAAATAAAAAAAAAAAAAAAAAAAAAAAAAAAAAATAAAAAAGAAAGAAGAAAAGAAAAGGAAGGAATCAATTCCTTGAGCTTTCGCCTTGACGCGTAACGTGTTGCATGCATCCGCCATTTCTCATTTTTCCTCGAGTTAGTTCCCTCGATTCTATCGCGCACAACTGAATAATTAAAAAGAGGGTAACGCGCTTACTTCCGAAATCCGTTCACGGAACGGTTTTTAAAAATAAAGCAGATCGATGCGATTTCTATCTTGCGTCAAGGGGGTTGCTGCGCGTAGAGGGTGCGCGTAAGCGGTGATTTTCCAACAATGCAACTTTTGAAAAATTAAACGATCACGAATGATGAATTAGAAACGGCGGCGAGCAAAATAACGTTTCCCCCGTTGGAATTCGTGAAAATCGAGATCGTGCAACAATCTGGTTGCGAACAATCCGAGTGACGCGGGAAAAAAATAAATAAGAATAATTTCGTTTCCGCGATGGCGAAATCGGTTTAAAAAATACAACAACGTTAAAATTGGGAGTAATCGAGACGGAAAACGCCTTTTCCAAAAAGTCCGTGGTAAAAAAAAGAAAAAAAAAATAAAAATATCGAACCTAACCTAACGCTGATCGTGAATAATCGAGAATATTCGAGAATATTCGAGAGAATAATCTGGTTCTGGCGAGGAAGTAGCGGAGAATGCGGAACGCCAGACTTCGTTTTTTATAACACTGCGAGAGTAAGGACGAGCGGATTCGGTTCGAGAGCACGCGAGTCGAGGGCGACGACTGGCGGAGCCCGTTCTTTTTTTTTCGCCTCGTGGCTGGCCTCGAGTGCGTCTAACGGATGGCGGATGGTAGTTAAAGAAGAAACGAACGATCGGCCAGATTATTAGAAACGTCCGCGACTCGTTAAAAGTTTCCGAGTCCGAGTCATCGTCGTCGAGGGGAGAGGGGGAGGAGGAGAGATCGAGGCCGTCGAGAGGAATTTTCCCGACGTTCCTGGCCGGAATCCCTCGTTACAATCACGACTCGCGATTAAACGCTTGTTAGAGGATTAACGCGTGTCCAGCTCGATCCCTTTTTCACGGCGACTAGATTGATCTTAATTGATTTTCCCTGTTCCCCTATAAATCCTATTTTCCGACGAGAGAAAAATTCTACGACTCTATATACGTATTGTACGTATATTCGCGGAAAGATTCAAGTAATTGCGAATTGGAATATATTGGAAAATGAACGAAATCTAAAACTATCGTCTCAACTTATTAAATAAACGTAGTCGATGTGATAACGAGCAGTAGGAAATATTTCACGTGATTGTTAACGTGAGAAATTTTCGACATTTTCTTTTTTTTTTAGGTTTTTTCGCGAATTTCTAAAATTTGTTACGATTGTTCGGGTGACATTTTTGGAAGGCAAGTTTTTAAACGACTGATCAAAGTTTGAAGGGGATAAAAACTGTTCGAACTTTTCGAGGGTAATATAGAGAAAATAATGGCCCTCTTAACGTTAAACTTACCCTTCTTTAAGACGTAGATGCAAGGGTGGTCGAAGAGGAAGTTCTGGAAACTGTTACAATCCGGGTCTACATGCGGTTCCCTGCAGAGGCACGTTGGGCGGAAGAAAGGGAAAGCTTGCAGAGTGTGCAGGGCCGCTTGACACTTTGTCACTGTCACCGTCGAACAAGCCACTGTAACAGTTAAATTATTATTAAGCGGGTGTGCTCATTGCCGATGACAAATACGCCACCTTAACGAGCCTCGAGCATGAATATATTTCACGAATCTCTCTCGAGTCAAATGCTTCTCACTAAACGCGTGATGAAATTCGTCGTTGAAACTCAAACCCCCCCAACAATTCCACCCCGATTAAACGAAAACAGAAGAAATTCGATAAATTTACGCGCGTGTTTTATACATTTCCGTTTCCGTTTTCGAAAGGATTACGTTTCGCGAATGCAATAATAATTGGATGAAAGCCTCTTCAATCGTCAAACAAAACATTTTATATCCATCCTATATTCTATTCTATGAAGATTATAAAAATCCTCCCATGGAAAAATTCGTACGTAACGTACGAAAGTCTCGAGGCGGTGGGATTATGAACGAAACTCTGTCTCGCGTTACACCGTGGGGAGCAATGGCAAGCGCCACACGCTTGGAAAACCGAGGATAACACTCGAGGTGTCTCGATCGTCTCGACGGTAACAACGGTTCACCCTTGTGTACGCGTACTCCCTTTTCCTCGACCGCGACACTCACCCGACGTTGTCATCGCGATATCGGGAATCGGTTTTGGGGAAAAATTGTACCCAAGAGTGGAAGCACAGAAACGAAAGCGTTACAGAAACGAAAGCGTCGTGATATATTCCGTTCGCGACAGTGAAAAATTAATTTCCTCGCCACTTCGTAAACTCCGTTCAACCGTTACTTAACCATGGATCCAATCGATCTTAAAGAGCCCGCTTTTAGAACAATGAGTGTAACTTGAGAAATAATGGAATAGTCTAAGTGCTCGAATTAAGCATTAATTTTTGGGGAATTTTATTTTTCGCTTTGTAATACGAACTTCGTATCTTTTTTTTCTTCCTCTTCGATTTTCCTCGCCTCCATTCCCTTTATTTACCACCATTATACCGCTTATTTCCTCATCGACGAAACGTGGAAATTAGGTCGCAATCGATGGTTAACATAGGTTTCTATCGGTTTGCGGGAACCTATCAACCGGAAGTTTGAAAGATCGTCATCTAAAAAAAAAAAAAAAAAAAAATTCCCTTGTCATCAGCGTTCCTTCTCTAAAGATCAGAGCATGGTCACGATAAAGAAATAGGTCAGCTCGTATCCGGTTAACAACTCTCCTTTACTTCCGCTTCCTCCTCGTATTACATCCGCGATTTGTTGTCGAAGTGAATCGAGATTATTGGATCCCTGGTAGGAGGAGGCGCGCTAATATTCCTGCGGGCGGGCGTTGTTGAAAGCGCAATTGAAACTTCCACTTTGGTCATTATTTTTCGATCCGACATCCGACGATGACTACGACATCTGGATTCGTTCATTACTTTCATACCTCGCCTCCGCTGCCGCTCTCGCTTATTACGAAACTTACGACGGTATCTTGGAATAGTAATTAAGGCGCACTCTCGTTCCTATTCTTTCCCTGAACGACGCTGTACTAATTAATCTGCGTACGGAGGAATCTCGAGTAAAGGGGGGAAAAAAGAGCAAGGAGAAAACAGGTTGAAACTACTCTAACGAGGAAATATTTTAACCGTTGAAAATCGTTCCCAGAGTACCACGGTGCTTACTTGGCCAGACAGGGGGTTATAGGCTAGCAATATGGCCGGACAAATATTATTAAAATAAAATAATCGTTAGTTGGAGGGAAGAGAGAAAGGCCATAATCAAATGAATGCGATAGAATGAGACTGGTCTGAACGAGAAAAGTTAATAGACGAAATTATTCCACCGATATCATTATTTGATTTCTCTCTAAGGAATATGAGATTTTCCTTTTTTTTTTTTTTTTTTTTATCAAAGATTGAAGAAGATACTAGGAAAGATCGAGATACTCCGGAAGAATACGGATTCGGGGATACTTTTCTCTTTCACATTTAAATCGAACAATTTAGAATGATTTAAGAATAATTGTATCGACCGATCTCTCCTCTTGCTCCGCGATTCAATCAAAAGTCGAACATCGTAACGAAACGAGACGAGATAAAGGGTCAGCCCTCGAAATAGTCCCGACAAAAATACCACGATGGATATATATCACCGATTGAAACGAAATCAATACGATTCGAGAACTGTTAACCAACGTCGAAAAACAGACTTAATAAAATATAAAACAAATCAACGGTTGCGCGGAGTAGAAAAAACAAAATAAAAAAAAAAAATATGCGCGCACATAGGTGGATGTATCGCCATTGACTGGAAACGACACACGTTTCAAAGATTGATCGTTCCCTCGAAACGAAAGGATGAATTAATAAAAAATAAATAAATAAAAAATAGAAAAGAACCGACAATATAATAAAACTTGGGACGTATTTATCCTATAGGGTTGATAATCGATAGTCACATGTAGAAGTCGCGAGCCCGCTCGAACCGTCACAATACACGATGTTGCACAAAACCTAGGATCTGGCAGCTGCAGTTGCAGCTGCACCAACGCTGATACCAGGTCCAGCCTCTCCCGTTTAATGCTTCCATACCGCGCCTATGCACCATACCCTACGAGAACTTGCATGGCCACTGTTAGATAGCGGCTTTGGGGAACGGTGGCCGAGAGAGAACGTCAGATCATAGCTACATACGTTTGTACAATTGTGCACCACCCATCTGCATTCTATGAGCTGGACCACCAACCACTATCCGAAACATGCTCCCTTGTCTCCTGTGGAAAGCATAGGTGATGCCAATCATCTCTATTCGAACCTGCGCCGCCCTCTACGCGCTCGATTTTAACGAATACCCAGTGTAACATCGTTTCGTGATTTATTCGATTTAATCTAACTTTCTTTCCTTTCTTTCTTTTTTTCGAATGAAATATAATCGTAAAAATAATACGTATATATACGTAATAGCGTAATGGAAAAAATTCTATCCAAGCTTCTGGTTAATTGATCAAATCAATCGATGAATTGCGATACGTGGAAAATGGAGAAGTAATTTTTCTTTTTGCATTTTTTTAAATATAACAGGCAGAGTTCTTATTCGATACGACGATTAAAGGAATCGAAAAAATATTGAGAACATTTAAAACAATTCACGAGCTGCGGGAATGAAAATTCTCAGGTCTCGTTGAGAAATGAGTATTATTTTTATAATAATCCATCGACACCGAGAAGAAAGAAAAACCTACGATTTTTATAACCGTAATGAAAATCGTCGGTCAAGAAAAAACTATCCCTCGAGAGGATATTAAAACAGGCGGATTATTTCGTAAGTAAGTATCTTAATTCGGATAAAAATGGCTTGGTTTTTGCCGCAGATAATGACCCTATTATATCGAGATCCCGGTTAGCAACTTTTTAACCAGGGCTTTCGTCTCTGTGTTAGGCAATATTCCCCGCAATACACGCTCCAAGATTTGAGAGCGATAGTTCCGCTTTGTATTCGACCTCGAACCTCCATACTCGTTTCGTGCACCAAAAGAAGAATCACTATATTTCTTCCCTCCCCTCTATCTCCCTCTGTTCTCTTTTTTTCACGTTCTATTCGCTCCTCGGACCGACTATTAATTTCCCACATTCATTATACATATCATAAATATCGAGGAACATCTAGTCCCCCCTCTCTCCCCTTTTTGATTATCGAACGCGTTTTTAAATTTCATTTCGATTCACTCGATGGAAAAAGTAAAAAAAGAAAGCGAGCAGAGGATCGAAATTCAATTAAAGTAACGAACGATATTTTTACAGGATCGCGAAACGTAACGAATTAAAGTCAAGCCCATGGCGGGGAAATGGCGAGCGAAACGTTTATGGAAAAAGAGAAGGATAAGGGATATAGCGTGCGTACGATGCACGAACGAATTTATCGATACAATTGCGTATTTCAAGTATCGGGGGGACGAGTCTCGTCTTGATATCCCGACTAGCTAATTTTCCATATACCTTCTCCAAGTGAAAACACGGCCGTTTCGACGCGTATCCCGCGGAGTGGAACTGTATCGCGATTCAGATTCGTTACATCAAAGCGGCCACCGAATCGAATGGTTAAAGCGATGTAAAAATATGAAAACGGATTGCATCAAAGGATGGCGACCTCCGCCAATGCTCGAAATGTCGAGAGTAAAAAAAAAAAGGAATGCGCGCCGCAAATGTAATTGCAACGTTTATTAAATCTACCGCGATCAAATATAATACGTGATTTTTCCAATTTTTATTAAACAACCCCGGCGAAAAGAGGAGGCCATCCACCGCGTTACAAAGCGTGCGCGACATCCCCTTTGATTCCGCCCGAGCCCCTCATTGTTTCCATTCCCATTCTTTTTTCCATAATTATCATAAAAACCCTTGTGACCCGAGTTTCTATGTATTTTTCAAGCGGTGAGTAACGTATTGCTTGCCTCGTAACGTTCCATTGAGAAAAAGGAGAAGCCAACGGAAAACAAGAGCGAGGGAAAAATCTGCAGGATGTGAAATTAACGAAACAAATTCGAAAATGTTTGTTACTTCTATATTCCTGTTATACGATCGTTTATTATTCATTCATTTAACCTCCTCCTCCTCCTCCTCTTCTCGCTCATCTCGTTCGATTCGCTGCGCTTTAATTATCAGAATTTACGGGAATCACGTCGCGTGGACGAAGGGAGGATCGTGGGCGAAAGTTTCGAGGATTATAATATTCATCGTTGGCGAACGGGAAAAAAGGAAAAGTAGGGAAAGAAAAGCGAGTCGAAGAATGGAAAGCGAAAAAATATGCGCAGCAAAGGAGATATCTGGAACAAATCGGGGTGGCGCGATGCGCGCAACCCTTTTTCTCCGTCTCATCGCTCTCTCCTTCTCTCCTTCTTTCTCTTCATCCGCTTTTTCTCGGGCGCACGTTCATCCGGCAACACACACGTAGCAGACACGTGGAGAAGACACGCGGAAAAGATCGCATACAACTGTACGATCTTCCTCTCTATCGCTATCTTTCTTCCATCCAGCCCATTGTTCTCAAGAACCGTGCACGGCGCTTTGCC